CAAAAGTGGCAGGCTCAAACCCAGAACCTCAACCAATGGCTGATACCAAATGAGAGACTCCCCCCTGGGCACACAGAAAACTGGGCAACTTGGAAGGCGCTGAACAGACTGCGCTCTGGCACCACAAGATGCAGAGCCAACCTTAAGAAATGGGGCTACAAAGTGGAATCCACAACATGCGAGTGTGGAGGAGAGCAAACCACTGACCACCTGCTGCAATGCAACCTGAGCCCTGCCACATGCACAATGGAGGACCTTCTTGCAGCAACACCAGAAGCACTCCAAGTGGCCAGATACTGGTCAAAGGACATTTAATCAACTACCAAACTCACAAATTTTGTCTTTTGTCTGTTTGTTTGCTTTGTTCTGTTAGAAATGTAATATAATTGAGTGGTTGTCCTGACACGACAAATAAATAAATCAATTTTAAGAGGTCATTACTGCTATTCAATCAACAATTTGTGTAAATTATAAAGGTTATAGCAGTAACTACCCCTGATCAGCCCCTTGAACCCCACTTTCATAGTGATGAAAGCTCTCTGAAGCCTGGATGGCCATCCAGAGGTGCTTTGACTGTGTCTTCCTGCCTGGGAGAAGAGGGTTGGACTGGATCCCCTTTGAGGGTTTCTTCTTCCTGCTCCATTTCCTCCTTCCTCACCAGACAGACTTTGTTTATGGGGAAGTGAGAGCATTTTCATGTGACGCACATGATAATAGACCCAAAATGGAAGGGAGGTACCTTGAATGTGAAAGCCAGGTGTGAGAAAATCTGGAACATGTGACAATGCTCAAAGGACTTAAAAGCAGTGACAAATCTTTCTGAGACTGCTTTCCTTTTTTTAGAACATGTTAATCGGTGAGTTGGTTGTTTGTCCCCACCTCTGCATCAGCTGCCTTTTTTGGAAGGACACACTGTTCATTTGATCACAAAATTAGTGAACGTTACACCATGATTGCTCACCAATGAACTTTATTGTAGGATTGTGTGCCATCTGTTCATTTGCCTGTTTGATTTAGCTTTTTATGATATGCAAATCCTCATAAATATATTGTAAATAAGTGATGATAATAAAAGGCAAACAAAAAGTACAGAAATGCACTAAACTTAAGCTAATCATCTTTGCAGCACACATTCAAAGCATGTAAATCATTGGTACGTATTCTTAGAATACTGTAAGTCAACTAGAATCATAGAATCAAAGAGTTGGAAGAGACCTCATGGGCCAAGAAGCAGGAATATTGCATTCAAATCACCCCTGACAGATGGCCATCCAGAAGGAGCCTCCATCACACTCCGGGGTTGTTTGTACCCACCTCTGCATCAGCTGCCTTTATATTTTTTTTACTCAGAAATAGGTTCCATTTCTGAGCAAATATATTATTTGAAATAATTCAGCCCTATAGATGTTGCTGGACGAAAGTTCTAAGAATTATTTATTTATTTCGTATCAAAAGCATTGCATAAATTAGTATAAAACCGATAAAAATAGAAAGAGCGCAGGTAGCTAAATATCTTTTGACCAAAAACGGGCAACAGCAATGGCATTGTCTGTGTTGTTGTTCATTTGTTCAGTCGTCTCTGACTCTTCGTGACCTCATGGACCAGCCCATGCCAGAGCTCCCTGTTGGCCGTTACCACCCCCAGCTCCCTCAAGGTCAGTCCAGTCACTTCAAGGATGCCATCCATCCATCTTGCCCTTGGTCGGCCCCTCTTCCTTTTGCCTTCCACTTTCCCCAGCATAATTGTCTTCTCTAGGCTTTCCTGTCTCCTCATGATGTGGCATTGTCTGTAGCCTCCAACAATTCTTCCTCTGTACATGAGGCAGGGCATAGTGGACAAGCATATAGATTTGGAGTTGTCCGTTCTGCTCCATAGTCACACAAGGTGTGGGGTTCTTTTAGGTAGTGCCATTTTGCCAGGTTGTCTTTTGATCTGCCCCTGGAGGAAGACCTTTGTGGAGGGTCATCCAGTTGGGATTTCCTGGTCTAGCTGCCCAGAGGGATACCCTTGCTGTTGCTGGGGGGACGCCAAGAGGAATGGTAGTTCTCATAAAACTTTCCCTTGATTTGAGTCTACGGGGAGGAGACTGGTAGCCATGTAGTGGGTAGCTTTCATAGTGTTCAACATTAGTTTTCTCACATTTAACAGCAACTTCACATCTCACAATATCTGCTTTGAACTGGGTTATCTGAGTCCACACTGTCATATATTTTAGCTCAAAGCAGAAGATGTGGGATTTTATTCAGCTGTGTGGAAGGGCCCCCAGAATATCAAGGCAAAATATCATGGCACCTTTGTATTCTGCTTTGGTTAGACCTCACCTGGAATACTGTGTCCAATTCTGAGCACCACAGTTTAAAAGAAACATAGAAAACCTGGAATGTGTCCATAAGAGGACTACTAAGAAGATCAAAGGTCTGGAGACCATGCCCTATAAGGAGCATCTTAAAGAGCTGGGAATACGTTTCGCAGGCATATAGCAGGGTTGGGAGGACAATAGTGTTATAAACAAGCACCTTGGTATCCCTTCGGATGTCCCGGTCCTCAAACACTCTCTGCTTCATTCAGAAAAATGCTGCATTCACAGAGCTCAGGCGTATAGCCCAAAATATCAAAAGAGCCCCCAGTGGTGCAGTGGGTTAAAGCGCTGAGCTGCTGAGCTTGTTGACCGAAAGGTTGCAGGTTTGAATCTGGGGAGTGGTGTGCGCTTATGCTGTCAGCCCCAGCTTCTGCCAACCTAGCAGTCTGAAAACATGCAAATGTGAGTAGATCAATAGGTACCATTTCGGCGAGAAGGTATTTATTTTATTTATCATGTCAGGGAAACCAGTCGATTATATTACATTTCTAACATAACAAAGCAAACAAACAGACAAAATACAAAATTTGTGAGTTTGGTAGTTGATTAAATGTCCTTTGACCAGTATCTGGCCAATTGGAGTGCTTCTGGTGTTGCTGCAAGAAGGTCCTCCATTGTGCATGTGGCAGGGCTCAGGTTGCATTGCAGCAGGTGGTCAGTGGTTTGCTCTTCTCCACACTTGTATGTCGTGGATTCCACTTTGTAGCCCCATTTCTGAAGGTTGGCTCTGCATCTCTTGGTGCCAGAGCACAGTCTGTTCAGTGCCTTCCAAGTTGCCCAGTTTTCTGTTTGCCCAGGGGGGAGTCTCTCATTTGGTATCAGCCATTGGTTGAGATTCTGTGCTTGAGCCTGCCACTTTTGGACTCTCGCTTGCTGAGGTGTTCCAGCGAGTGTCTCTGTGGATCTTAGAAAACTATTTCTAGATTTAAGTCATTGGCGTGCTGGCTGATACCCAAACAGGGGATGAGCTGGAGATGTCTCTGCCTTGGTCCTTTCACTATTGGCTGCTACTTCCCGGCGGATGTCAGGTGGTGCAATACCGGCTAAGCAGTGTAATTTCTCCAGTGGTGTAGGGCGCAGACACCCCGTGATAATGCAGCATGTCTCATTAAGAGCCACATCCACTGTTTTAGTGTGGTGAGATGTGTTCCACACTGGGCATGCATACACAGCAGCAGAGTAGCATAGCGCAAGGGCAGATGTCTTCACTGTGTCTGGTTGTGATCCCCAGGTTGTGCCAGTCAGCTTTCGTATGATATTGTTTCTAGCGCCCACTTTTTGCTTGATGTTCAGGCAGTGCTTCTTGTAGGGCAGAGCACGGGCCAGAGTGACTCCCAGGTATTTGGCGGGAAGGTAAGAGCGCCCCATGCAGTCATGCCGGCCACATGACCTTGGAGGTGTCTATGGACAACACCGGCTCTTCGGCTTAGAAATGGAGATGAGCACCAACCCCTAGAGTCGGACATGACTGGAATTAATGTCAGGGGAAAACCTTTACCTTATCAAGGCAGAGTAACCCACAATATCTGCTTTGAACTGGGTTAATCATAGAATCACAGAGTTGGAAGAGACCTCATGGGCCATCCAGTCCAACCCTTCAGCCCCCCCCCCCCCCCAAATTCTCATAGTGGTTTGCGAAAAGGCCTTACTGGTGCATTATTTAAACTGTTATGTTTATTCATATCATAATCTGATCACCGACTTTGGAACACCCTCCCAAAAGATCTTAGACAGGCCCCTACATTGGCAGTCTTTAGAAAGAACTTGAAGACTTGGCTGTTCCGATGTGCCTTCCCAGAATAGGAAATCTCCAATAACAAGTCCTCGAAGCACTTTTTAGTAGAACTAAGATTATAGCACACCGCACACTGCACTTGCCCTATAATCCTCGTATACCACCTGCCACATTAGCACTTTTAATCCTGTACCCATTACTTTAGCCCGGCCCAGTTTTTATTGTGTCTTGATATACTGTCTATTGCATGTCGTTAATATTGCTTTAACTGTTTTTAATTTTGCTTTTGGTGTTATATTGTTGTGTTGTGTTTTGTGGCCTTGTCCTTTGTAAGCCGCATCGAGTCCTTCGGGAGATGCTAGCGGGGTACAAATAAAGTTAATAATAATAATAATAATAATGTCTCCTCCCAGCCTTCTCTTCTTCAAGCTAAACATGTCCAGTTCCTTTAGCCGCTCCTCATAGGGCTTGTTCTCCAGACCCTTGATCATTTTAGGGTTATCTGAGTCCATAGTGTCATATATTTCAGCTCAAAGCAGAAAATGTGGGATTTTATTCAGCTGTGTGGAAGGGGCCTCACACATCCCAATATACAGCCTACCAGAAGCCTGACCCACAACAGCACAAGGCAGCGCCTTACCCTTCATCCCAACTCAACTCCCTTCCGCAGTTTCTTCTTCAACGAGGAAGTCGGCGTTGATTGGCCGAGGGAAAACCAATGAGAGATCAGCTTGGCTTAAAAAAAACAACAAAAAAGAACTACTACGGGATTGGTTGTAGTTTGGGAGATCTGTCCAATCGGAGGCGGCTCTGGGAGGCGGCGGCCAATTAGGACCGGGGAGGGCTGGGCGCGCGCCCAATCTGAGAGGGCGGGGGAGAGGGAGGCGTTCCTCGGGCGGCCAGTCGCTCGGACACGGCAGAGGAGCAGGAGTGGAGCAGGAGTGGAGCAGGGCGGGGCGGGGGGAGTCGCCGGCCGCTCGGTTCTTCTCCGTCTTCTTCCCGGAGAGACGCGTCAGCGCAGCGCCCGCCGAGGTCAAGAGCGAGGAAAGGTGAGAAGGGACCTGGTTTCCCTCAGAGCGTGTTCCGTTTCGATCTGAGGGGAAGGGAAAACCATGGAGTCATTAGTTCCATCCCGCCTTTTTTAGCCCCAAGAAGTAGCCTTCCCTCTATTGCTCTCCCTGTGTGTGTTTGTGTCTCCTTCAGCTGTTGGGCCGCTCTGAGGTAAACGCAAGGAGAGAGTCCTGGCCTCAAGGTCGGCCCTCCGACGCAGAGGAGGGAGGGAAAGAGGAGGGAAGCCAGGCTACCTTGCCCTCTTTCCTCCGCTTCAGGAAACAGGTCTCTGAGTGCCTTGGTCCTCTGAGGGCCCTTCCACACAGCTGAATGAAACCCCACATTGTCTGCTTTGCACTGGAATATATGACAGTGTGGACTCAGATATTTCATAGAGTTGGAAGAGAGATATTGACAAGCTGGAATGTGTCCAGAGGAGGGCGACTAAAATGATCAAGGGTCTGGAGAACAAGCCCTATGAGGAGCGGCTTAAGGAGCTGGGCATGTTTAGCCTGAAGAAGAGAAGGCTGAGAGGGGATATGATAGCCATGTATAAATATGTGAGAGGAAGCCACAGGGAGGAGGGATCAAGCTTGTTTTCTGCTTCCCTGGAGACTTACTTACTTAGGTGATCCCTCGTTGGACGAGTAAGATGGTCTTCCATGATGGGTTTCCTTGTGGATTTGTAGGTGGCTGTGGAGCCCTATTCTTGACCCGCATCTTCTCTCACAGTGAAGGCATTGGTTTCCAGGTGGAAGGCGGTCCCGGTCGGAGATGGCTTGACGCGCCTTCCTCCTGGCATGTTTCTCTCTTTCACCCTCCACTCGTGCCCCCTCGAATTCTGCAGCACTACTGGTCACAGCTGACCTCCAGCTGGAGTACTCAAGGGCCAGGGCTTCCCAGTTCTCAGTGTCTATGCCAGAGATTTTAAGGTTGGCTTTGAGGCCATCTTTAAATCTCTTTTCCTGTCCACCAACGTTCCAAGACTAGGACACGAAACAATGGCTTCAAGCTACAAGAAAGGAGAATTCCATCTGAACATGAGGAAGAAGCAGCAATATTCCTGCTTCTTGGCAGGGGGTTGGACTGGATGGCCCATGAGGTCTCTTCCAACTCTATGATTCTATGTATGTATTTATATATGGCATTGAATTGTGCCGACTTTGTATGCCACCCTGAGTTGCCTTCGGGCTAATATGGGCGAGATAGAAACAATGTAAATAAAAAAAAATCCATCTGAATATTAGGAAGAACTTCCTGACTGTGAGAGCCGTTCAGCAGTGGAACTCTCTGCCCTGGAGTGTGGTGGAGGCTCCTTCTTATTTCAATGGGAAGTGTGGGCCTGCTTTTGGCTGATGGGATAGGATTGTTGTTGTTGTGTGCTTTCAAGTCGTAACAGACTTAGGTTGACTCTAAGCGAGGGCCGGGTAAATGACCTTGGAGGGCCGCATTCGGCCCCCGGGCCTTAGTTTGAGAACCCCTGATCTAGACACAATATTCGTATTGATGCAGGCTAAAATCCCATTGGCTTTTTTTTGCTGCCGCATCACATTGTTGACTCATGTTTAACTTGTTGTCCATGAGGACTCCAGGATCTTTTTCGCATGTATTGCCCTCGAGCCATGCGCCCCCCATTCTGTATCTTTGCATTTCATTTTTTCTGCCTAAGTTCAAAGCAGATATTGTCGGATATTCTGCCTTAATATTCTGGGTTGTATGGCTGTGTGGCCTTCCACAGAGAGAGAGAGAGAGATCGTCTGGTTATTATTATTTTATTTGTACCCTGCTTTTCTTCCTCATCTGGGATTCAAAGTAGCTAACAACAAAGTATAAAATATACAGGTACATTGGGACAAAAAGAAAATAGACATAGTCAAGGACCATCATTAAAACATAATAAGTTAGTCAGACCACAATAAAACACATTCCAGATTAAAATACAATCAACTCTTCAGTTACAGTTAAAAACTAAATAGGAAATCAGAAGACGTTTACTTCTTGGGAGGAGAGCAATGACCAATCTCGATAAAATAGTGATGAGTAGAGACATCACACTGGCAACCAAGATCCGCATAGTTAAAGCAATAATATTCCCCATAGTAACCTACATATGTGAGAGCTGGACCATAGGGAAGGCTGAGCAAAGGAAGACAGATGCTTTTGAACTGTGGTGTTGGAGGAAAGTTCTGAGAGTGCCTTGGACTGCCAGAAGATGCAACCAGTCCATACTTCAGGAAATAAAGCCTGACTGCTCATTGGAGGGAAGGATAGTAGACGCAAAGATGAAATACTTTGGCCACATCATGAGAAGACAGGAAAGCTTAGAGAAGACAATGATGCTGGGGGAAATGGAAGGAAAAAGGAAGAGGTGCCAACCAAGGGCAAGGTGGATGGATGGTATCCTTGAAGTGACTGGCTTGACCTTGAAGGAGCTGGGGATAGCTATGGCCAACAGGGAGCTCTGGCATGGGATGGTCCATGAAGTCGCAAAGAGTCGGAAGCGACTGAAAGAATAAACAACAACAACTAATAGATATAAACCGAAGCCATTATCTGTCCTTTTGCCACTTCTCTGAAGGCATTGCACAGAAAGGTTCAGCTCAAGTGTTACTGTGGTGCCTATCACTCTTGTATTAATCTTCACCCAAAGGCCTGATTCCAGAGAAGGATTTTTATCTGACCCAGGGACCCAGAGAAGGACTTCTCCTGTTGATCTCAGGGTTTGTGCAGGTTCAGAGAGGGAAATACTGTCTTTTAAGTAGACTGGCCCGAGTCATCTAGGGCTTTGTAGGTGAAGACCAGCACTTTGAGTTGCGTTTAGAAGCTGACTAGTAGTCAGTGCATTTGTTTTAGAAGTGGGGTAGTTCTTTCCCTGTAACCAACCCCTGTTAGCAATCTGGCTGCTGACCTTTGAACCAGTTGGAGCTTCCGAATGCTCTTCTGAGGCAACCCCACAGAGAGCACGTTGCAGTGATCTAACCGGGATCTAACCAAAGCATGTACCACCATAACCAGATCAAGTTTTTGAAGCTGCGGGCACAGCTGGCACACAAGCTTTAACTGTGAAAAGGCTCTTTTGGCCATTGTTGACCCCTGGGCCTCCAGGGTCAGCACCCAGTCCAGGAGGACTCCCAAGCTGTGGACCTGCATCTTCGGGGGGGAATGTAACCCTGTCTAATACAGGTTGTAGCCCTATACCCTGATCTGCCTTCCAACTGACCAGGAGTACAGGATTAAATTTCAATTTGTTCATCCTCATCCAGGTCATCGCAGCTCACAGCCATCGGTTCAGGGTCAGGATGGCTTTCTTGGTTGTGGTGGAAAGAAGTGATAGAGTTGGGTGTCGTCTGCATACAGATGGCATCAAAACCCAAAACTCTGCATGATCTCTCCTAACTGTTTCATATAGATGTTAGAGGAGTTTAACACTCCAGCGACACCCCTGAGTGGATTGAGATTCTCCAATATTATGAGTTGTTCACGCCCTTCTCTGGATTTGATTGACAGCCACCCACCCACTCCTGGGCCTTGTTTCTCTATTACTATTTGCTGCAGGACCTGTGAAGGGGAAGTGTCCCTGCAAAGTTTGGCTGGATGTTTCTTTCCATACATTTTCTCTGCCTCTTGAAGGATTCCTTTCATTGCAGGCATGATTTTAGTCAGATCTATCAGGTAAAGGCAGGCAGCTGGCAACTGACTCATTTCCAAGAATGGTGAATCATAGAATAATGTTGGAAGAGACCAAAAAGGACATCTAGTCCAATCTCCTGCCATGTAGGAAAACCACAGTCAATAAAAGCACCCCTGACAGATGGCCATCCAGCCTCTGTTTAGAAGCCTTGTTTACTCCTTGGGTGGAGGACTATCTGAATTATGGGGCTGTTATTGTTACACTAGTTTGTCATTCATTCAATGGTTACATCATAGGTCTTTCACATATAGGACAAATAAATCAATACATAAATATCAGATTATAACATACAACACTCTGTTGAAATTTTTCACATGCTTGAGGATTTCATTGGCTTCTCTGGTTGTCAGAGTGGTCCAGCATTTCTGTGTTCTCAAATAATCTGTGTCCAGGTTGGTTTGTCAAGTGCTCTGCTATAGCTGTCTTCTCTGATAGAATTAGTCTGTAGTGCCTTTCATATTCTTTTATTTGTGTCTGGGCGCTGTGTTTGGTGGTTCTTATGTAGACTTGTCCAGAGTTGCACGGTATATGTTAGACTGATGCAGTGGTGAGAGGATCCCTCTTGTTCTTTGTTGAACGTAGCATTTGTTGAATTTCTTGGTGGGTCTGTAGACTGTAGGTTGTGTTTCTTCATCAGTTTCCCTATGCAGTCAGTGGTTCCCCTGATGTATGGTAAGAACTCTTTTATTTTATGTGGATCTTTGTCTTTACTCTTGTGGCTTGTTCTTGGTCTGTCAGCTCTTCTGATGTCTGTTGCAGAATACCCTTTGGCCTGCAGAGCCCTGATTAAGTGGTTCAGTTCACCTTGGAGGTTACAAATAGTGTACAAAAGCTTAAAATGGCACATTGAAATTATTATTATTACACTATGTAACACATTTTTTTGTTTCTGGTGTTAAAATGCTGTTTCCTACTTCATGTATTAAACTGCTAAAAATTTGTTTTTGAGGTCTGCACAAAAGGGTAAAATGGCATACAAAAGGTTAAAAATAGCACATTGAAAAGTTTTAAAATGGCAGCCACAAAAACCCCCCAACCATATTTATGTTGTATTATTTCTGTGCAGGGTGAAATGGGAAATTGTACCTACCTGTATTTCCAAAATATTCAGTATTCAACCCCTCATTCACCGTACACTGATACCATAGTGGGGTGGTGCCCCTCCATCTCCATTTAAGAGAGATAGCTGTCTATTATCCTTCCATAGCCTTCCTATGTGTAGAGACCTTTGGGACACTCTGTATTTATTTTATACCTTTTGGAATGCCACAAGATTGTTGAGATTTGCTAAAGCACATCCACATGGCT